GATAGATAGATAGATAGATAGATAGATAGATAGATAGATAGATAGATAGATAGATGGGTACATAGATAGATTGATAGATAGATATAGATGAGAGAGAGAGAGAGAGAGAGAGAGAGAGAGAGAGAGAGAGTTGAATGTGTGTATGTGTGCATATATGTGCACCTGAGTGGAAATTCCCACGGAGGACAGAAGAGGTCATCAAATCCTTTGGAGCTGGGATTAAAGGCATTTGTGAGCCTGCTTAAATGGGTGCTGGAAACCAAATCTGAATCCTCTGCAAGGGCAGTATGTGCTCTTAATCACTGAGCTATCTCTCCAGCCCAGTTCAGTTCTGTTAAGTATATTTCATTGAGTTAAGAGAGACAATTCTCTTATAACCAATTTGCCAAGAATTTCTTTAAATGATAAATTTGAATCATCTGTTTATTTTGAATTGATAACAGTTTTGTTTTCCTATCATTAGCATGTTAAAACACAAATAGTAGGTGTTTCCATTTCCTGGGGCAATGTTTCTTATGCCATAACTTTTAGATCCATCATGGGTTTTGCTGGCTGCTATGTATTTCATCGTTTCCCATACATGACATCCATGGCAACATGAGACAATTTTCTAACTACACAGGGACCTCAGAAAGTAAGATAAGAAGGGTCCACACACTTCTGTTTTCAGAATTCTGTTCTGTGTCCATTCTGTATAACTCTGGATATTGGCTATAAAGGAAAACAGAATGCTTGGGCTTGCCCGCAAGCTGGACAACCTGAGTTCCATCTCCAGAATACACATGGTAGAAGGGAGAACAAAATTCTCCATTTTGCTCTCTGACCTCTACATACAAGCCTAGATTCTACCCCTGGAATTCATGGTAGAAGAAAAGAACTAATTCAACTAATTCCCACAAGTTGTCTTCTGACCTCCTTACATGTGCCATTATATGGCCTCCCCCAAAATAAATACATAAATGCAATACATTTAAAAAAGAAAAGATAAAAAACTTTATTTTTTTAAAAAAATTGATAAATTAATTGACAATTTGAATTAAAAGAAACCCTTTAAAAGGAGACCTCTCAGGAATAACTTCAAATATCTTATTTGGAAAAACATGCTAAAAAATAGCCTCAAAATGTAACAAAATTGGTTTTATTTTACAGTACTCTATAATTTTTTTAGTGATGTGATTGCAAAATTATGACAAATATTATTAAACTCTGATGCAAAGATCTAACTCCAAGTGGAAGTGGACGATTAAAGCAGCTGTCTGCAACTGTTTTGTTTTGAGAAGGTCGGTTTTATGACATCAATGCAGAAAAGAGACTTGCTTAGTACACCTTCCCCCACCAGAGAAAATGGAGCTACAGCATGGGGTTGGGTGTGGCTCAGCGGCAGAGCATGTGCCCTGGGTTCAGTAGCCAGAGATGCAGAAGAATGGCGATTGATTCCATGGATGACCTGCCTGCGGTACCAAGGATATCCTGACAAGCAGAGTAATCAACACTAGAATTTAAACCTTTCCTTTCTCCTGTGGACACTTATCCTCTGCTACATGGAAACACTAGCATTCTAATTCTTACCACCTCCAGAAAAATGAAACAAAACACTAAGATCTACAACTCTGTAGTCACAGAATTTGATGATTCTAACAAATTTCCTCCTAACCAAACCCACTGTAAGATAGACTTCTGGTTCAGTGGGAAGTGTGACTAACCACAGTTCTCCAGAGATGCCTTATATGGAAGACACCGGGCACGGGGATTACAACAGGGACAAAAAATGTACATGGCTTTGCATTTATTCCATAGTCAAAAGTTGCTTCAAGACCTAGTCATCACAATATGACCATCAACAACCTCGTTTAAAAAGCTGTCAATAACCAAGTGTGAGGTCTGGGATTCCCTGGGAGTAGGAGAGACATTGCATCAGTCCAAACAGACATTAAAACTCTGACTTTCTTTTCTTCCTTTTATTGTCGTGTAGGATCTTACTATAAAGCCTCACGGGTCTGAAGCTTGCTGTGTAGACAAGGCTGTGAAGACCGGCAATCTTCCTGACTCAGTCTATGTGATTAAAGGCAAACACCACTGTGCTTGGCTTACACTCTGACTTTCTTACAATGAGGCTTTAAGATAAAGATTCTCCCCCTTTAAACACTTTCTTTGCTGTAATCCACTTTCACTCATAAAAGTCAACATAAATTTCTATACTCCCTTTTATTTTAAGTATGTGAAATGTACTCAAGAACAAAGTCTTCCTAGTAAAGAGGTCCCCCATTAATTAATACTATACAACCTGAAAAGATGGAAGGCATGTTTGCCAACATCGGTTGCAGGTACGTTTATACACGCTAAGGGAAGACAGAATGGACAGGGGAATCTTGAAAGAGGAGTCCTTTAGGAAAATGGTTGACTCTCTCAAAAATATACCATTTATGAATTATAAAAGCTCATGGGGCTTCAATGACAGTTTTGGTGAGGAGAATTACATGAAACATAAAGGTTAGAGATCCCATCTTCCGTGACAGGTAGGAAGCAGCTGATTTGGTGTTAGTTTCTTCACTCCCGACAATCTGTTGTCACACTAAATGGAAAAATCGCTAAAAATAATACTTAAGGACTTTACTAATAGTGAGATGGCCGTGTTTCTCCTGTTTTGCTTTCCTAAGCTGTCTCCTCCCTCAGCTGTGTCTGTAGCAGTTCAGAGTGACAGTGGGAAAGAGGTGAAGAACTTGCCAACTGGAAGTTTCCTCCATCTGTGATAGCTGGGGTGTGGGGCGGAAGGTGAGGTGTTGCGTGTGTTAAGAGTCTTTGACATGTGCTAAAGACTTTCTTTGAAAAGCCCTCCTCAGAAAGGTGACTGTTTTTAGAGTTCCATGACTAATCTTCACGTAATTAAAGGTGTTTCTAAAACGCCCCATTAATGTTATGCTCAGAGACTGCTAGGGGAAAGGAAAAAACACTTAGTTGTTGAATTCAACACATCTGTAAACTGGGGGCTCCTGGGGAGAGAAACACCCAGTCTGTATACACGCTCCCATCTCTGAGTCCACTGTTAACCTGGACTCTGCAATTCCTCTTTCAACAACCAGAAGAGACACGCCATTGAGCCGAGTTGATTCAGCTGTTTATTACACCATCTGGCCTCAACCCACCAGGACCCTGATCCACAGGTCCCAGTCATAGAGCCCTGTGCCCTCCTTTCTGGCTAGTGCCCCTAATCCTCAGAACAAAACACTTGAAGTCTCTTTGCCTCGTTTCCTAAGTCCTCTCTCGGTGAAAATGTAAACACCAAAGTCATGTTTTTAACCAAACTTTTGGAAATTCATTCCAGCACATCTATCCCGGGAGAGCACAACCTTCGAGGGGACCTCATTTACAGTTACTTCCAACCGTAACCCTTACTGTTGCAGGAAGATCGCTGGGCTTGTTTGCAATTGTTCTGGCTCCTACTGTATTCCCGATCTTGAATACAGTCCGATATCTGTCTGTAGCTCTCTGATTCAAGAGGGGCTGAAACTTGGGCCCGCCGCCGTCCACTTAGAACCAGAGAAGGTGATTTATGGTTGTGATGCCAGCACAGAGAAAGTGGTGTCAATAAGATGGGGAGAGCGAGGCCGTCTTTACACAGCCAGTTCAAGGTCAGCCTGGACTACTCTTAATAAGTAAGAAAGCAAACAACTAAACAAGGTCAACATAACACAGTGGCCCAGCACCCTGGTCTTTGGAGCATCGAAGTGGTCACATGCTCAGCTTCTTTGTGTGTGTCACTAGTTAGCCTTGGATAGGTCTGAAGCTTTGCAGGTTATATTGCACTCAGAATTCCTAATTTTTCCCCCTCAAGTTTTCCTGGTTCTCAGAAAACTGTCGTTAGCCTCTTTTCCAGGCAGATCAGGAGTTCAACCCTGAGTTTTGGGAACACAGGAGATCCCAGAAGTAGCTCTGCATTGGAGCAGTGTCTCTTCAGAGCCAGACTGAAGACAGCAATCACATCTCGCCCTCAGTCTATCAGACCCCAGTTCTATTGTCACCCCATGAAACTCCAGTGCGACCCTCTGCAGCCTTCCCACACAGAGCGCAGGTGAACGAGCGAGCAGGCACCAGGGTGGCAGTTCAAGCGAGCCTTGGGAGTCATCTTTCAGGGGAGGAATAGCTGAAAACATGGCTTCGCAGAGGCAACCCCAGGCTAACATCCCAGGGACACAACTTTGGCCCTACTCAACAAAACTCAGAGGTAAGGAAGCTCCTGAGTCCCACCACACCTGTCTTTTGCTAGGTCAAGACTCCTAAACCCCCCCCCCCCCCAGCCCCCACTGTCGTCCTTCCTTTCCACTCAAGGCTCCCTAGTCCCAATCACCACTCCGATTTAGGAGCTGCCAGCAAGGAGCAAATAGCATCCGCTGCCCACCCAGAACCAAGACACCAGCGCCGAGTAGCCAGAGAACGGACTCCTAATTCAGATATCGTCTATGGCGGCCCTGGGGGGGGGGGGGCGGGGGAAGCTAAGTTTTGAGGGGTCGCGTGGTCGTTTGATAACTTATCGCCTGTCACCCCTCCAGACGGAACTTGAACCAGTCAAGAACTGATCTGAGACACTTAGCCCATCACTTGCCGCCTGTTGCGCCCCTGCAGCAACCAGGGCGGATTCACCCATTTCCCTTCCCCCATTTGGGTCCCCATCCGATTGCAACCCCGGGCAACTTACCCAGAGGGCCAGCAGCAGCTGTGTGCAAAGGGCTCCGCACCAGGGTCTCCGGAACCCAGCGATGGCCATTGCTCGGTGCACCTCAGAAGTACGCAGGCGGGCGCCTAGCGGGGACTGTGAGAGCCAGGGCGCAGGAGGTTTTTTTCGCAGCTGCTTGTCTAGAAGTCGTTCTGGCCGCTCTCAAGCTTCTTTGCCCAGGAGCGTGTTCTCGTCTGAAACTGGATTGGAGCAGGGAGACGCTGGGTGGCCCCTCCTAGTTATTTCTCAAGTTTTATCACCTCCGGGGCCGCCTTGGAGCTGCCCGAGCCTGCCCTGCGTTCCCCGCGGCCGCCAGGGAGCTCACTCCCCGGGAAAGCGGTCCCGGTCCACCCTCTGCCAGCTCTCCCACGCCCCTCTTCTGCCTCGAGGGGGTTGCCGCCCAACCTTTCCCGCGTCCCCTTCGCTGACACGGCTCTGAGCATCTCCACTCCCAAACTCGGACCCGCCTGCTCTGAGTCTACTCGGTGCCAGGTACACACCTGATTCGGATCATGGGATCCTCCCATTCAGTCCGCTGTGTGCAAAATCTGGGCAACCACTTCACAAGTTGAAACAAAACCCAGACAGTCTCTCCAAATCTCATTAACATGATAAAATAAACCACTGAAGGAAAATTGTCCCGAATGCCATGGATTATCTGTGCCAGATATTAAAATCGAAGAAAAGAAGTGCTTACCTGACCATTTGTCCATACCCAAAATGACTGCCTTTGCGCTGTAATTACTGGCAATATTTGTGATCTTCTATGGGCCCACTAAGAAAAGAAAGCAAGGAAGGAAAATGGTAAGGAATGAAAGAAGGAAAAAAAACATGTTCTTTCACTTATTGTTCAAATAGGGTTTTGATTTCGGTTTTTGCTTTTTGTTTGTTTGTTACTTGTTTGGGTTTTGCTGTCTATTCATTTGCTTTTGTTTTTGTTTTCTTTCCTTCTTTTTCTAAATGTGATTTACTAAGATAAAAATTTTTCAAATCTGGTCACAGGAAAATCTCCCAAACAAAATGTACTCTAAAATGGGGCTTGCAATATTACCATCATTTAACAAACATTTACAGCGATCAAAAGCCATCAACATTACCCTAAAGGCTGGAGAAAGGATTCACACAGACCCCCCCCCCCCCCACTTCTGTTCAAGGTGACTCAAAGTTTAGGTGGGAAAATCCTTGGCTACTTACTGGCTTGTGACAGTAGAAGCCATACCCTTAGAACTCTGCTGGCAGAATTCAGAAAGAATCTGTGTCAGATGTATTGCTGATCCCCAAAGCCCATTCAAAACCCATGGTCAGAGCCCTGGGTCAGTCCACAGTAAGGTGCAGAGCATGTGACTGCCTTCATTCCCCCCTACCCTGCTTACTTCAGAGACCATCCTTATCTAAGCCATGTACTTCCTCAAAGAGTGGGGCTTCCCTGAGCTCTCAAGACTCAGATCTCCCTAGGTTTTGCTCCGCAGTCTCATTCCTGACACATGTAAGCCACTATCAGCTGAAGTCTGTGGGGAAGGCATGCTAGTCTCAGAGACAGTGTTCCAAATTTCTCCCCTTTGGAGATTTCCAGCTCCTCTTTTCCTGTCTTTCTTTGCCCATGACCTCAGGGAAAACTGTGTCGTCTTCTCCAGGCTCAGTCAATCTTTTCTGCAGTTCAGGGAGGAAAGAGCATGCCAGCACAGAGATGTCTCCCGGTACTAGTCAGGACTCTTCCTGCAGTTGAAGGGCTGAAGAGCTAAGACACTTTATAGCAGGCTCTTAGTTCTGTGAAGAGCAAAGATGCTTGAGATAAGAACAGAAAGGAGGAGTAGGGGTGGCATGGGGGAATGCTCCAGTAAAGGTGACAGCAGCAAGGCCAGAACGTGAGAAGCACTGGAGAGACTTGGACAAGCTCCTTACATGATGGAGACAGAGGGGCTGTTGGTTCAGAAGAGCTAGAGGGAGAACCCCGGAGCCTGGGAGTAAAGCTAGCATGACTGGCACATGACAAGCCATACTGAGGAGCGAGAACTTGTCCTGGAAGAAATGGTAATTTATTCAACTTCAAGGTATGAAAGGGATTACTAGGGGGTTGTAATGAGTTGTCATATTCATTATCGACGATTCTCTTGATCATTATGAAATATGCATGTCTCTATACACAGACACACATGTAGATACTTTTGATGTATTCATCTCTATTCTAAATGCTCCTAAGTATTTAATGACCTTAACTAGCTCTTTTGATTAACTACAATCTAACTGGCTATGGGTGTCTACCAAGTGACTGAAACTTCAGCAAGACTGTGTCTTTGGTTTTTTGCACTGTGCTGTCTGATAAGGAATATTGATAAGCCTACCGTTAGCACAGCTGCTTTGCACCTCCTCTTACAAAATAACAGTGGTTCAAATCTAGCCCGTAAACACTAAGGAAGCATAGGAGTGATATTTCAACTTGCATTATTAAGTTTTAGGTGCAGTATATTAAGTATATCAACATTAACAGAGGGCCTGGAATTCCCCATTTGGTACATATTATTAGTTTAATTTCTACCAAAGACAATGTGCATTTGTAATTTAGGGAAACGCCCTTCCATTGCTTATAACGGCAATGTAGAACACCCTGGGGATAGATCCAATTGTTTATGTTTTTACATGAATTATATTTTAAAACATATCTTGAAAGTTTATTTAAAATGTTCTAAAATGTATTGATTTAGATGATTTTTGTCTTGAATGTAGTTACAATTGAGTATTGTCTGTCGAAAACTCAACTTTAAATCATTGTGAAACACAAGGAATCACAAAGCACTTTTCAGATATGTCTCTTCTAATATTCTGACCTTCAAAATCACTTGGAATTCACTGCTAAAACAATGGATCAGGTAGAAAAGCAAGTTATTACCTGCTATTCTGGTATTTGTTTTAAAGATAAGAAAAATGACAAAGAAGAGTCAATAATTGGAAGAAGTTTAAGCTAAACACACAAAACTGCAGGAATCAAGATGAATTATATAGCCAACAGAAAGCAAATCTGAAACAAGCAGTTTGAACTGGATGTGGTGGCTCACACCTGTATTCTTGGCAGTCAGGAAGTAGTGGCTGGAGAACTGTGACTTTGAGGCTACCATGAGCTGTACGGTGAGCTCCCACCCCAAACAGTCTACTTAGGAATAGCCTATCATCTCAAGCCAAAAGAACAAGTGAAGAGGAGGAGAGAGAAGAAGCAGAGGGGCAGGATATTGTGTCTGAACCTGGGAGGAGTCTTGGGCATTGACAAGGGGTACCTAATCTTAGGAGGTAAAGGCTAACCCCGGATCCACTGGCCCAGTCTACCTTGTGCAACTCAGCACCAACCAGTCTTTGCACACCCTCTCACTTCCGTGCCTGTGGTCTGGGATGAAGCAAGTGTGGGTCAACTCAACCACTACAGCAATGTTGAACCTGAAAAAACAAACAAACAAAAACCTGCCAATCAGAAACTGAAACACAGCTTTAGTGAAGAGCAAGCAAAGCAGAAGATGAGTTTGAATAAACTCCCTTGACTTGGAGGGGGGGTAATCTTAAAAAGGCTGCTAAAAGCTGGTATCAAATGGAATCGTCATTCAAGACCCTCTGTTGCATGTAGGAACTGTCTGACTGCCTTTCTAAATTCCAAGACACATTCTTCCCAGCTTTTATTCTGCTCCCACAGAAGTGTTCCAGGTAGCCATGGAAATCTCAGTTCTAGACCAAAATGAGAATAGTCTGACACTTATTCATCACCCAGATTCACCGTCATGCAGTCTCAGGGATGATGACGGCAAGTCCAATTCATAGAGGGTGTGCCAAGCTTGGAAGACTGTCAGTTTCCCTTTATTAATACATGAGTCAAGAACTGTTACAAGGGCTTTTCCTCCTTCCACCAGAGTCTGGAGGCTCCTCACAAGTAGACTGTTCAGCAAACAGTCCTTTCCAGGAGGCAGGGCAGTGGCCCCAGTGACTTCCCACTGGTCTGGGAGGAAGGATAATTTCCACCCAGAAAACAAAAGCCCATTGTGTCGATGATGATGTCTTACAGTCGTGAACAAAAGGTCATATTCAGAGGAATTGTGTGTGTGTGTGTGTGTGTGTGTGTGTGTGTGTGTGTGTACTGCTGTGCATGGTGAAGAACAGAAGAAGACAGATGTTGGATGTCTTACTCTATCACACCCTCATCTTTTTTTCCCTAGAAACAGGAGCTCTCAATCTCTCATTGAACCCAGAGTTAGACTGGTAACCAAAGCCAAAGCAATCATCCTGACACAGGCACCCACCCCACCCCAAACACACACACACACACACACACACACACACACACACAGAGAGAGAGAGAGAGAGAGAGAGAGAGAGAGGAGAAAGCAGGGGTTAAAGTAATGGTGGATGTGACCACGTCACATGCGTTCTGGAGATCTGAACTTAAATCCTAGTGTTTGGACAGAAAGCATTTTTACTGGGCTGTCTTTCTAGATCTCAGAATTAATTTGAAATCCCATTTGAAATATCCTATAAGTCTCTAACTGTATTTCCTTCACAGGGAGGAATCTCTTCCTACTGACTGAAACTCCAGTTAGTCCTGGACAGTGTTCCTGGAGCTCCCTGTGAGCTTCTGTCTGCATCCAGGGCATTGCCCAAGCATGAAAGTTGAGGTGTGAGTGGGCTGACTTCCCGATCTCATGTGTCATTATCCTGGCGTCATGCTTGAATCACTGCCCCATCAGCCTTCTCTTTTCTCAGAGGTTGAGGACCATTCCTCAACTGCTGCCTAGGGAAGTGGCAAAGACCCCAGCTTGCCACTTAGCTCTGGAGCACAAGAAGAGGTCCTCACCGGTTTCCTATGGGAAGTACATGATTTTATTTAATATCCCTTCGTTTATTCTTTGCTTCAGTAATAATCGTACCTGAGTTTTACTTGTCCCTGCCTGATTTTCAAAGCCTTTTTGTTTGTTTGTACTCTTTTTTGTTGTATTTGCTTGTTCTGGGATTTTTTTTCCCTCTGAGGTAGAGTCTTACAAGGCAGTCCAGTATGATCTGGAACTCACCATGTAGCCCAGGACTGGACTCACACTGATTCTCTTGCCTCGGTGTTTCAAATACTGGGATTACAGGTGTGTACCACCATGCCTGGCTGAGATTTCCAAGCCTTTTAAATATAGTCTGTCAGGTGCATAGACTACTACAGCGTGTCTAAGTCACGTCTGTGTCTCACTCTTCCCTTCCAGCTCTCCAGGAGCCCTCCCTACATCCTGCTCCCAACTTCATCTGTAAGAACACATCAGAGCCCCATTCCCTCATAAATCCCTACTCTGTGGTCCTATCTGAACACTTAAGGCGGACACT